CATCTCTCCCGCCTCATCTCGTGATGCTTGTTATGATTATCATGATAACGTTTGATGGGCAGCACAATTTTTAAATTAGCTTAGTGGGGGGTGGAGTTCAACTGGGTCCACTCGGCACGGCGGTCACTGATTGGCCTATTGTAGCCTGCCCCGAGTGATTATGTTGATGGAGAATTTGGTGGAATGAAGATTGGCAGGGGAAAAAACCGAAGCACTCGGAGAAAACCTGCCCCAGCGCCACTTTGTCCATCACAAATTCCACTTGACCTGACCCGGGATCGAATCCGGGCCGTCGCGATGTGGAGACTTAGTTTGATTGCTGGTGAATGGCGGACTAGCGTAGCTGTGCATTACAACGAATGCTTCTTAGGTCATTTAGAGACCCTGTATCTACTGCATAGTTTTGTAGCGTCAAATTGTGTGGGAAAGAGATCACAACTTGCAGCTAAGTCTTAGCAGACGACCATGGTCTGTTTCAAAGTCCTGCCCGGCGTTCGACTGAACATATCAAGAGAAGCTACAAAGAAACCTAATCCGGTGTATCATTCTTATTATTCGAGTACACCGCCAATAATGCAACATTTATATAAAATACACCTAAACTGTATATTTATCACCTGCTCACACAGGTTCATCTCTCGAGGATTTCGTATACCCTGAAGATGCAGGCAATGCGTTCCTCCAAATGGTCGGTTAACAAAATATCTACACGGCGCCACATCCCAGAAGGCGGCATTCTTCATAGTCACCGCCGCGAAAGCCTCAAATCTTACGTTCTATGTTCTTCCCTTGGAGTGAGAGTCCACACTTCTCAGCCGTATAAAGCAAATGAAAGTTAGCTTCGTAAATAATAACATTGGCAGTCATGTACAGATTTTAATCAGGATTGATTTGATCAGGGCACGGCTGTAGAAAGCTTTAGAAGCGACTGTCTCTGGTGACTTTGTCAGTAGGATCTAGGCTTATACACCTAAACTCTATTTACTCCAACTCTTGGAGCTTTTCTGGTATAGTAATAATATAGCGAATAAAAATACTGATAAGGTTGACGATAATACCAATAAGAAGAATAGCAGCAACCATGGCCTTTCGGCAGCAAGGTTTTCTCAGCAACAAACACTTTAAACTCTCGTAATTTTTTAACAAAGTATCAACACACACCCTGCACTGCACAAAAACGAATTTTATGTGGCGGTTGAATGCTTTCGATATGTAATTGCTTTAGTTTGCACGAAAANGCTCTCAGGGTCCTTGGCATATATAATATATAATAATATAGCGAATAAAAATACTGATAAGGTTGACGATAATACCAGTAAGAAGAACAGCAGCAACCATGGCCTTACGGCAGCAAGGTTTTCTCAGCAACAAACACTTTAAACTCTCGTAATTTTTTAACAAAGTATCAACACACACCCTGCACTGCACAGAAACGAATTTTATGTGGCGGTTGAATGCTTTCGATATGTAATTGCTTTAGTTTGCACGAAAATATAATTTAAATATGAAACAAGAAAGTTGACATAATGGAAGTGAAAATTTGTTGTGAATTATCACAAAACAACGTTCCAATATACATAAAGTAATACAGCAAATATCAGAAAGATTCCGACCATCAGTTCAGTTAATTCTTTCGGCAGTAGGTGCTTACTTTTTAATGTCATCATCATCAGTAATCTGTCAGACGACTGGTCCACAGTCTCTTCCAAAACAATTCCTCCACTTAATGCGATCTAGAGCTTTCTCCTTCAAATGACAGTATCCTCTTCTGTCCCCAAGGTCATCCAGCATCTTCTTACGTCTTCTTCCTCGTCTTCTTGTTACTTCTATCCCCCCCTCTATCTTTCCTTCAGTAACTTCTTTTAGAAGGCAGTTTCTGCGTAAAACATGACCAATCCAATTAGCCTTCCGTTTTCTTATTTCGTGTAGGATATTCCTCTGCTCACTGACTCTAATTAACACTTCTTCATTTCTCACATAATCGGTCCAACTGATCTTCTCCATCCTTCTCCAACACCACATTTCAAAACTTTCCAAATTTTTCTGATCTACTGCTCTAAGCGTCCATGTTTCAGTCCCATACAGAGCTATGCTCCAAATGTAGCATTTCACTAGTTTCTTCCTCAAATTTAAGTCCAATTTGCTGGTAAAAAGATTCTTCTTCTTGCTAAATGCAGCTTTTGCCATGGCAATCCTGGATTTAATTTCACAAGTACACCTTCCATCATCTGTTAACAAGCTACCCAAATATTTAAAACATTTCACATTCTCCACTTGTTTTTGGTCTATCTTTATTGTGACTGGGGTTGGTTGTCTCGAAATTTTCATTACTTTTGTTTTCTCCACATTCATTTCCATGCCATAGCACCTTCCAATTTCAATTAGTCTATCAATCATGCCCTGTAGCACAGTTTCTTCCTTAGCCATTAACACAAGGTCATCTGCATATTTCACAGTTTGAATAATTTGCCCTCCTACTTTGAAGTCACCGAGCCCATCCAGAGCTTCCTTGGTAAGGCATTCGCTGTACAAGTTGAACAGAATTGGTGATAAACAGCATCCTTGTCGAACTCCTCTTCCAATCTGCACACTTCCTGTCTCCCCCCTGTCCAGTCGTACTCTAACTTTCTGATCCATGTACAATTTGCTAATCAATCTTCTTTCATGCCAATCGATACCTGTTTCTTTCAGGATCTGCATTAATTTGGTCCAGTTTACCCGGTCAAATGCCTTCTGCCAGTCTATGAAGCAAACACACAGTTCTTCATCTATCTCCAAAGTTCGTTCCGCTATAATTCTCATCATCCCAATTGCATCCCTGGTTCCTTTTCCTCTTCTAAATCCAAACTGATCTTCTCCAAGTACATCCTCTATTTTCCTTTCAATTCTTCTTTTAAGTATCTTTGCTATTATCTTTGCTGTATGTGCAATAAGACTTATTGTGCGATGGTCGCTGCATTTTGTAGCTTTTGTCTTTTTCTTTAAGGCAATCATTGTAACTTCTGTAAAGTCCTTGGGCCACTCTCCACTTTCATATATGGTGTTCATTAGTTTTGTCAGTGTTTTCAAACCACCTTCTCCCAGTAACTTGAGCACATCTCCAGGTACATCATCATCTCCTGTAGCCTTTCCCTTCCTCATTTCCTTGATAGCTTTTTCCACCTCACTTTGTAAAATATATGGTCCTTTCTCGTCTGTATCTACTTCTTCTTCCGGTTCAACTTCTAAGGTTTCTGGCCGATTAGGTCGATCATATAGTTCTGAAATATAATTTTCCCAAATTTTCAGCACTTGCCTCTGATCTACTATTCTATTCCCCTGGGAGTCTTCGATGCCAACATTTTGAATCCCATGATTCTCTTTCCATCCTAGTTCTTTTGTCTTCATGTACATCAAATCATAACGGCCTGTTCTTTGAAATTCCATAATCTCATTACATATCTTCTCAAGATATTCCTTTTTGGCCCTGTCCGTGGCTCTTTTCAATTCATTCCTCAGTCTCCTGTATTTCCTCCTGCCTTCTTCATTGTTGACATTCTTCCATTTCCTTCGCTCCTCCATTTTACTCATCATCTCCTGTGTAACCCATGGTTTTCTTGCTATCTTCTCAACTTTACCTACCAAATCACTGATAGTATCTAACATGCATTCTTTTATATCGTTCCACTGCGCTTCAGCATTTCCGCTTTCACCTTCAATTGCACCGAGTTTCTCTTCTAGAGTCTCTTGCACGCTTTGTCTTTGAGCATATAACTTCTCCAAATCCCATCTGGGTCTGCGCTTTCGAAATCCTATAATTTTCTTCAACCTGGTTCGGAACTTGGCAACCAGTAAGTTGTGGTCAGAGTCAATATCTGCCCCAGGAAGCGTCTTCACATCCTTCACACTGTTTCTGAATCGATGTTTCACAAGGATGTAGTCCAGCTGATGCCTCTTCCAATCCCCAGGTGCCTTCCATGTGTAAATTCTTCTCTTTGGCTTCTTGAACCAAGTGTTGGTGACAATCAGTCCATTTCGTTCACAAAAGTCAATAAGCATTTGACCCCTGTGATTCCGTCTTCCTAGTCCATGTGATCCAACAATATTCTGATATGGTTCATCTCCAACAGTGCTATTCCAGTCTCCCAATATGATGCTGTTTGTGTCACCTCTTCCATCTTCCTGAAAAAATTTCTCAAATTGTGTCATATACTTTTCCTACTTCATCATCTTCATACTCTGATGTTGGCATGTACACTTGCATAATCAGCATACCTACCGGTTCCGCCTTTAACTTCAGAGCAATCATTCTGTCATTACAAACAATCTTCTTAACAACACTCCTCACTACACTTTTATGCACCACTATTGCCACACCTCTTTCATCCCGTTCACCTCCGGAATAATACACTGTATAATCACCACTTCTTATTTCACCTTGTCCTTTCCACGGCACTTCGCCGACACCTAGAACTGACACCTCATTCTTCTGCATTTCCAGTTTCAATTTTTTTTTTCCTTGTGTTCTTGTTTCAGGGTGTATGCTCTGCATAAATAAAGTAATTAGTTAGACATATTAACACACAGAATTGCTGGGTTTTTGAACTTTTTCCATTGTCCGGTATTCTAAAGAATAGAAAACACGACGTTTCGGAAACTGAATCACTGGTCCAGTGATTGAAATAAGTTCTTTATAAGGGGCCCAACTGAGTAAGTGTAGTCTCCCCCTTTACCTGAGGACGGAAACAGATTCAGTTTCCGAAGCATCGTGTTTTCTATCCTCTAGAATACCTGACGATGGAAAAAGTCCAAAAACCCAGTAATTCTGTGTTATACACCATCGTCAGAACACTTTAGAATCTACTTAGGCATATTAAGACTATGTTGTGGTTTTCGTTGAATTTTTTAGTTTAAATTTAAACACCTGTAAGTTGTGGCACTTGAAATCACTATGTTTCTAGCGAGTGAGCCTACAGCTGATTCGGAGGATGTACGTAAAATAGTCGGTTCGCTGCTTCCAGGATGCAAGCAAAGTGCGAAGAGCATTCACGGTGCGGATAAGGGCCTCAGCTCCGTTGTATGGACGTCTGACTGCCTGCACAGCGCAGAGTGGTGTAGGCAGCGATTGGCACACACGAGAAACCAGTGGGAAGATTTCTGTTTTTGGTAAGAAGCACGCTTCTGCGCTTTAATTCTTTTTTGTAGCCTAGGTTTCTGAAAGGTGTTATTAGTTACTGTTTAACAGGTACAGGAAAATGGTACCAGGGGAGGTACAGGACTCAGTTTTCTGATGTACACTTTTATGCATTCTTTTAACGAAGTGAATAAACTGTTGTTCTTGTGGCCGTGCCATAGCTCAGGCGGTTAGTCGCCGGTTTCCCACCTCGGCGGCCCGGGTTCGAGCTCAGGTCAGGTCATGTTGGATTTGTGGTGAACAAAGTGGCACTGAAGTAAATTTTCTCCGAGTACTTCGGTTTCCCCTACTAATTCTTATTCCACCGATTGCTCCACGCTCATCGTCTATCATTCGGGTCTGGTACAATATGCCAAATAATGGCCGACGTACCAAGTGGATTCAGTCTCATCCCATTCGAAGAAAAAAAATGTTATTCTTCGATATCAGATGATGAATTTCACCCCAATTTTGTTTCGACTGATTTACCTTCAACTGGTCAAAAAGTTTACCTCTTTATTAAAACCTAAGATCATAGCCGTGTACAAAAAATGCTCCTTACTCGTCCTTGTCCTGAAATTGTAGTTCAATCCTGTTCACAATTTTACACCGTGTTTTTCTAAGATCGACTATGAAATTATCCTTTCATAAACACCTACATCTACCGTGTAGTCGCAAAACCTCAAGAAAAGAGACCACTTGGAAGATCTAAGCGTAGATGGAGATTAATATTAAAATGGGTCTTCCATAAATAGGAGTAAGATTATGTACTGGATCCAATTGGATTAATATTTGCTCCTGTGATGGACTTCCGTTAACACAGCAATTAGATTATACTCGAGTCCCATGGAAGTGTTGAATTCTTTTTGTCAGGTAAGATACTATCAAGGAAGTAATTGTTAGTTAATCAGTCGGTGAAAATGAAAATTTCGCACATGTTTAATCAAAATTCCTCCGTAAATTTTGTTTGGCATACAATCAGTTTTCGGTTTAAACGCTAGGCAAACCCGTATCCAACCACGTTACTGCATGGGTTGTTCCGGCTTTAGCTGTCGGTTTTGTAATTGTAACAGACAATGAAGTTTTTACGCTGGTATTCACAATAAAATTTCATGTTCTGAAGAATTTATCCGCGGAACAACGCTATGAAATACTAGTTACAGGACTGTTGCACTGAAGAACACTGTACGAACGAGCGCTCTAAGAGGAATATTCTTATTGTCCTTGTCTCGTTCCCCACAAACTGGTGCTCGAAATGGAATGGTATGTGGTGGCTTTAGTGCTGTTTTATGGATCTCTATCTTTAGAATAATGTCGTCCGTCTGAAGTGTTTTGTTTCCTCGCAGAGCAATGCAGTTAACAACCAAGTTGTCGTTCGCAAGCTCGCCGCTAGCTTCAGCACCTTGAAACTCTTGGGAGAAATCCATTTCATCAGAAGAACCTTTAGTGATGGACTTTCAACTTGAATGTATCGTAATTTTATGAGTTATTTGCAAGAACTGTTTGGTTGTTTGTGTGCATTTATTTGCCCTGGTGTTTATTTATTGCGTATGCAAATTTGCTGCAAACTTGGTACCACGACAGCACACAGTATAATTATTTTCATTGTATTTCGCTAAATGTACACAGCATCGGTAAAGCCTGAAGTGAAACGTGTTAATTTCATGAGATCAGTTTTGTTGTCTACTCTTTTACAGTGAGCCCCCCCCCCTTTAACATAAATATATTTAGTTCTGGCGTCTTGCAAAGCAGAAGTAATATTGGATCAATATCGGCTAGAATTAAATTTTCCAACAAATTTTAGTGTAAGTCCTAGAACCAATTTGCATCGATACCACTTCAGTAGTTTCGAATATGAAACATGCGGTCGGATATGACATCACCGTTATGTGTTGACTTTAAATATTCTATGTGAAGAATGTATAAAATCAAAATGTGAACTAACGAGAACCTTAGCTTTAGTATATCTCCGTGTCTCAATCGCCAAGTCTTGCTTGTTATAACGGGTTTTCACTTGTAGGGGAGGTTGACATTAAGGAATTTTATGCACATTCTCTCTCTTATTCCGACCATGACCGACAAACGTTCGTCTAAATTCTGAGTCCTTCATTTGGGTTCACCTTTGATGCCCCTGATGTAATTTTATGGCGGGAAGTACAGCTTCAGAGCTCAGCGTTCGCGGACTCTCTGTTGTCCAGTGAAGTTATTGTTGACCGCTGTGATCCTGCATTCACATTGTGACCTGCTAGGGCAACAGCTGTGACTGCGTGTCTAGTAACGGGTCCGAACTGTACACCGTATAATAGCTAATTTTTTTCCAGCTTTATTCCTTCGAATTAACAGTTCAACAGACAGTACTATGTTACAGATGCTTTAGTAATGATTGATTTACGTTGGACATGATCTAACACTATTTCTTCTGGACAACGGCTTTGACAGTTCTTGTTTCTGTGAACATTTTCTTCCTGTAAAATTTAAAATATAATGTCAATGACCGCATTACTGTATGACTGTGGAGCTTCGACATTGACAAAGCTACAGAAATAAAATATGCATATAAGAAGACGAAATTAATGTTACTATGCCTGTTCTATTTCACATTTTTTTCATGACGTGTACACATTAACATACTTAGGATTTGGAATGTTACTGTTTTGCAAGCATATGACAAAAAAGTTAACGCTATCCCTGACACAGGCCATGGAGGCCCATGGGGTTGTAGGACGTCGAGGCTTCTAAAGAATCGGCTCACATATGGCGGTGAGGCTGTCAGCCTTACGCTGCGGCTGCCCTTTATCCCCAGGAATAGTCCTGGTACTCATTTCTGTTAGAGGCTGAGTCGACCCCAGGACCATAGTGCGGCTGGAAAAATCCAGTGACCTCAACGGGAATCGAATCCGCGACATTCCGGCTACGCTACCGCGTGCCCCAATGTTTTATATGTATGCTGCAAATAATTAAAACATTGGTTTAATGTTTGTGTCCGACACAAGCAAGATGGAGCTATCTGACGTACTTTCAGCCTTAGTGCGCAGACTACCCGAAACAAAGTCATCTCTTCGTATCACTGCGCTGTGTGGTATATGTCACCGGCCAATGGGGAACTAGCTCGTAGGCCGAAATTTGAATCACGATATGTGGGGTTTAATACAATGAGCCACACCCAACACAAAAAGGTCGTTAATATACTCCCCTTCTGTGACCCTACATATTAGGGTGGTCGTCACAAGACTTAGTGATAAATAAACACACTACATCCAGAAAGAGCGACATGAAATTCTCCAAAAATCATGTTAGAATCCAGTACTTTTCATCCTCATTGATGTCAGCAGATGGAAGGTTGTGTCTTGTAGGAGGCACGTGATGTCTGGGGGATACAGGAACAGCCAATTGTAGCACAGACATGGGACTGCGTTTAACTGATCAAACCTCCCCATGATATGTGTGGGACGACACAGCTACACTGCTCTGCTCACAGAGGTCAATATCTTCCCTGCCTTCTCTTTGTACACTTAGCTTCTAGACTAAGATGTCCATCTTTTTTCATTCTGTTACAATATATGTTGTATTCTTCTCTTCCCCAGTTTCTGTTTTTGTTTTCTAATTGAAACTTCTTCATTCAAATGGGTCTTCTATTTCATATTGGCAGTGTACAGATCCTCCGTCTCTCTTTCTCGCCTGCACGAGTGCAAAATCTCCAGTCCCGCAATTAGATATCCATTTCTGCATGGAGCAAGGAGAAATGCAAGGCGATATCACGCCTTTTCGTGGGGTCGTGACGTGGAGTGATCGTTCTAATTTCTTACTGCTATCTGCCTTTCATCGCCTCTCTGTTAGGCAGGAACGCTTAGTATACTGTAGAGGTGAATCCATAAGACCTGCATTTAAACCTTTATTGACGCAATACAGCCATCTCTCTAACCCTGGACTTTCCAGACGTAGATTTGAAGTGGCCTTGGTTTTTTCATTTATATCGAGTTTTACCAACCGCGGTTCTTGAGTTAACGTGCCGCGGCTTCTATGGGTGTAAGAGAACACATGAGGGGAGGGGAGGTGAAATATGGGGTCATCTCCGAGACATTTACGTTTGCTAGGAGCAGGGCTGTGCAAGCATTCCGGTTACCACTGAGGCGAGTCTTTTTGTCTCTGTGTGGTACCTGTGGTATTTTATGTCTAATTTTATCAAACTCAAAATTTTCCTTTCTCTGTGTGTGTGTGTTTGTTCGAGAACAGGGTGTTGAGGAGAATATTTGGATCGAAGAGAGATGAAGTGACAGGAGGTTGGAGAAAACTGCATAAT